GGGAAAAATAAAAAAATATATATACATATATACAGATTTTCTACAAGTCCAATTTAATATATCCCAATACTAACCCAAGCTCAATTTCAATCTCTCCTGCATAAGAAATAGCCCCAAAATCTCTTGCACTCGCCTTATGTTTTTCATTGTGTAGAGCTGCTCGACAGTCTGTCCGTCTTCAGATATATGCGGTTTATGTCGCAGCACATAAATTTCAAGTATTACAGTTGCATTCGGTCTAGCCGAGGCGGCAGCAATCACAATTACAATTTATGAACCAAATAATATGTATTATATGTAATAAGTATATAAGTATATATATAATTTGATTGTGGCAGTCTGGCTGCACTTCATAAACAAAACAGTTTCTCGATCTAACTAACCGCAAAATGCTTAAGTGGCGAGCAGCCACTAGACAGGGTCATAACAGGAAATTTCTGACTGACTCTGCGGGCGGCTCAAGTGGCAGCCAGAGCGAAAGGTGGTGGCAGACACTGTAGCCGGATGGCTCGAATCACTTGCTGAAAATCTAATAATGGCCTGCCAGCCAAGACGACGGCGTACTTCTGTCCAACTCAAGGCAAACTTGAACAGTTTATGAAGTAGGCGCATCAAGTGAGAAAGAGACAGGCAGCGAGAGAGAGAGAGAGAGAGTAGGAGAAAGTAAGGTACAGGACAACATCGCAGGATACGGAGGACCGCCTTGACTTAACCATTGTGGACAGGCCTCAAATTGTTTGGTGATTTGTTGTAGTTGCGCATTTATGGCCTGGTTTTAACTGCTGCCATATTTATCAATGGTGCGCCGCTCACTAAGTATTATTAATAGTGCGGTTTAGTGTGTGCGTAGCTCAGAGGCCATTTCCATTTGTTGGCTCATAACAATTGCGCCAATTTACGCTTATCATTTATCACTGGCCGCAAATTAACACTGAAAAAAACACACACAAAATCACAATCATATGACCATGAATCGCAAAATTTGCATACGACGAAAAAAAAAAAAAAAAAGAAAAAAGCAGTCGAAACGGAAAAACAATCAAATGCTAATTTCCAATGTAATTTCCACAAGCCACAATAAATTTAGAAAGACAAAGGCGACACATCTTAAATACAACTTACACGGAATCATAAAGAAGCGCCGGCCACATACAGCTTAAATCTGAAATAAGATCTTGCGGTGGCGTATACGTAATCTCAGCCGTTGCACGACTCAAATTACAGTTTGTGGTGAACAGAAAAAAAAAAAATGATTATTGTTGTTGCTGCTGCGACTGGTGCTGCTGTTGCTGCTGTTCTACATAATGCGCATAATAATTTTGTTCATTTAAAACGTATTGGCCAGCCAGACAGCCAGACGGGCAGACAGACAGATAGACAGAAAGACTCTCACAGTCGCAGTAAAGCGCTTAAGTGTGACGCGTCATCATAAATAAAGAGAAGAAAGATAGAAAAAAAAAAACACACACACACACACACAAACAGATACAGACAATGGGAAGTCGCGGAATAAACGTTGCGTTCTACAATGAAAACGGGAAGCTGTTTAGCTAATTGCAACGTTTCAAATTTCGCGTGTTGCATAACAAAACGCTCCAAGTGACAGACAAAAAGCAACAACAACAACAACTAAAAAAAAGCAACTAAATATCAAACTCATTTCATTTGAATTTTGTGACACAGAACGTATCAAAAATCAAAAGTGAATCACGTCTGAGAACTCTTTGATGGGGAGGAGCTCAAGCATGCCAAGGTTTTCTTCATCTTGTTTTTTTTTTTTTTTTTGTTTTGCGGCTAATAGGAAATCATGTGGGGCTAGGAAGTGATACCTAATTAGCAATTGAGCTAGCAGAATTTGTGGCAATTCATTACAAAGTATAGATTAAATACATATACAAAGAGATAAATATAGGTTAAGCTAATTTATTGCCTACCTCAACCTTTGCTCAAGTCCCTTAGGTCCAACAGGAGATATCTAGATTAGCAAAAGTTTAATTTCGACTTTTCCAATTGACATTTCTATTGCATTTTCATTACTGACTACAGTGGTTATTCTATATATAAATTCTATATTATTCTATATACATTATTACCCTCATACCCACCTTTATCTATATATTAGCTTAGTGACCAAATGTTACGCTCATGCTCAAACTTGTCAACAATGCTATCTCTCCAATATTTCACAAATTTCGTACGAAATTAATAATATTCTCTCAGCATTACAAAATATATTTCATCATTTATCTTCTATGCGCAAAATTCCATTAAAAATTATTTAATTTATTATTTAGGCCCAAGCAAAGTATCATTAATTCATCAAATTGGACAATGTGAGATTGCCGAATGTTGACTTTGAATCTCAAAAGGCAGCTAAATCTCAGCAGAGTCCAGTCATATTAAATATGTATAATATATTGTATAACAGTGTAACCATGGATACTTTACAATGCTTGCAAATGTTCGTTCTGGGTCGCATAATCAAAGTTGAAGTACTTTATTCATATGCATTTCATAGTCAAGCTGAGGCTTTGGTTTCACGTTTATTTTAGGTATTTTAGTTATTAAATGTAAATAATATTTAAATAAATTCACTGAGAAAAATGAGCAAAAATATGTTGATAATATTTATTTAGAATTAACTTTAATTTATTAAAGATTCGTGTAATTTCCATTAGACTAAAATTTAATTCGTATTTAACTTAAATTTATTTCAACTTAATTTTTATCAATTTTTTTTTTATATATATACTTAAATTTTAATTTTATTTTTATTTGTACATTAATATTAGCTTAATTAAAAAT